AAATGCAGCACATTCATTTCATAAGTTATTATTATGCATAAATTATTATCTACATTCAGATGTTCTGTATATATCTACAGTATATTTATATTGAATGAACCTATTAAAAGCCAAGTTGTTCTACTTTTTGTACATTTCTTAGTTTGAGTGCCAGAGAACGTAGATCAATGCTTAACATTCTAAAATTAAGACAATGATAAGTATTTAAATCACAACAATTATTTGTCATCTTAATCCTAATATGCGTCAAAGTGTGTATTATATTTTAATATACATTTAATATATTGTTCTATAATTATCGAAGTTAAAACATATAATTCAAGTGAAGCAAATTGTTTTTTATATATCTCTTCGTCTGAAAGAAATGTGCTTTATAGGTCTTCCTAATTTTCTTCTTATCTAACAAGTAATATATAAAATAACTAAAGAATAACTAAAGAATGTTAGAGTTAGAAAAATAATTACAAGGTAATTATAAGAATATCCTGTTGGCCCTTTTAATATATACATAAAGGAAAATTATTTCGGAAGGCTTCAGCGATTTTTCCGCGAAAATATCTTTATTTGGTTGAGGTTAATTAAATCTGCTGGCGAGATTATTAAGAGTGTCATGATATTTCGTGGGCATCCTCGTATCGACCAATTTCGCCGCCCGCTGGATGAGTGGATGAAAGGGATGTAAAACTGGCGACGTTGCGTTTAAATCTTGTTTGTAGACGTTGCCTACCAGCAGAATCAGAAAAAGCGGAGGATAGGGGTTGATGTGTGTCAGATTAAACATCTGCAGCTGACAAGCAGCATATTATTCTCTCAAGAGACATCGTTTACAGGTAATACCGTGTATTACCGCGTTTTACACGAGGTCACATATATAACACGATTTTATAAAATGCAGAGTTCCACTTGGCATTAAATTTATTAATTAAATATTATTGTGCCCTTAATATTATATTTTAAGAAAGTAAGATACACTTTGTACACATCAGACAACTTCCACGTCGACTATTGTTGGCGCTTGCGAAGTAGGAGCGCAAGACGTCGGAAAGATTGTGGGGTGACTTCTTACCGCAATCACCTGCGGCTATTTTAAAGACACTTCCACTTTAATTATACCAAACCGCTCTCGCGATATTACGATATTATGATATTACGAAGCATAAGCCGGGTACCGGAGATTTAGGGTCGCGGAAAGTTTAAACTGTACACACCCCAAAAACCCATTCCAGTCCTCCGTTACGATTTCTCCTCGACCGTTATCTAACTTCGACGATAGCGTTACTGCCGCTTTCGTTTTCCAGTATTCCCGGAAAATACCCACCTACCTCGCCTGAGTAAATATATAAGGTAGTGTAAGACGTTACTGCCGGGACGATAACACGGAATATCTAACGTAGCGATTCGCGCAGCCGTGCTTTTCTATGATGATATTATCCTTGTGAGACATAAGAAAAAATCAAGAAGATCGAAATCTCTTAACTGCAACTTCATTCATTAAGTGCACATCGTGCACTTGAATTCTCTCAGTTGCGACTTGGTCTGTCAGATAAGACATTTTACGAGATTTACGGTGAATTATGAATAAACTATAACACACACACACACACGAAACTACACAGGTTATTATTCTGTACACACAATATTATACATTATATTGCAACAAAATATATTGCGATCTTTATATCGCAATATTATGTATCGTTGCGTCGAGAAACTTAATGAGTCAACTGACACTCTTCGTCAACATCTTTATACGTAAATAGTCCTCCTTTTTTTCTTTTGTTATGCTAATAACCGCCCGTTATCGTATAATATTCGCTATCGTAAAGTACGTGACATATCGTACGTGCAAAAATATTTTAATGAGAAAGCAAAGTTTAAAGTACGACGGAGGGTTCGCGGAGAGACGGTAGAGTGGATTCAGCGTGCATTAGGGGCCGGCACCTTCTCTCGAAAATTCGCGGGTATAATCAGTAATCAAATTTATTAGTTTCTATTGTCTTGGGGGGCGAAATTCTTTTCCGATTTTATGGCGTGGAAAGACGATATAATAAGGAGAGAGCCGCCTCGAGCGAAGCTGCGAGTAACGAGGGAATAAGAATGGCTAGGCAGTCGGGGGTGGCTTCGGGGGTGGCTCCTCGGAAGAAGCAGGAGGAGGGCAAGATTTACTGGACCCGCTAGTGGCCGCCAACTTCGCAAGGGACGCTTTCTCGAAAACATTAAAGCGATATAATGCGAGCACGCGAGACTTGTTCGAACTTAAACGAGCGTATCTAGAAGATGATGTAAAATCGCTCTTATCGGCTTCGAAACTAATTATTAGGTTTCTTCGTTATTTCGAATCAGTTGAAATTCTAATCTTCAAGTTTCGGAAAAAAATCGTTTCCCCCATTTTTCTGCAGATTTCTTCAATTTCTATCTCAAGGATAGAAAAATTTGTTTAAAAAATTTCACGCGTGTTCGGTTATAACCTGTTACAATTACTTTTTTTCCATAAAGAAGGTAAGAAACCAAAAAATCCGGGGAAAGATCAGGAAAAACGATTTTCTCCGAAACTTTGACTATAATTAAAATATCATATCACTCGTGAGAAAATTACTCTTCTTAATTATCTGTTCATCTTTCTCGATTTCGCACGAATCTCGATAACGTTTTAGAAACAGGGAAACCAAAAATGAACATGTTTTCCCTTTATATGTTCTTTCATGTTGCTATATCAGCAACATAAAGATCATCATCGCACGGAAAACAGAATATTCCTTACAGGAGGCGAATATTGAATTCGTCCTAGTCATAAAATTTGTAAGAATATATGTTTCACGTACGATGACCGCACCATCGTAGGATCACGGACGAGCGAGGGAGAGATAACTCAAATTCTCGAGATTTATTAATTTCCGGAAGCATCAGAGAGCCGTGAGAGCACGTCAGGATCGATTCGCGCACCGGTGACAAGAAATCTGTTGACTCAGGAGAGAGAGAGAGAGAGAGAGAGAGTGAGAACGCGGGGAGAGGGGTGTGGTTGTAATAAAAATAAATATTCCCGGCGTATGCGCGAGAGAGCGGGCGGGCGGTAAAGTACGGGGTTCGCGAGGGGAGAGAAAGAGAGAGGGAGAAAAAGAGAGAGAGAGAGAGAGAGAAAAGGCGGCGGAGGGCACGACGTCGTTCCCCACTCGTACGCTCTCCATAACGATATATAAAGCCGACATATTTCCGAATAAATTGGTTTTTTTCAAATCTCGTGCATAGAACGACCGATAAACTCGACGTGGATGGCTCGTGGTGAACTGGAAGGGGGTGTCCCGATGCTCGGGAGGTCGTCGCCGTTTTCTGCTGTGTTGCATGGATTTTTATTCGGCCGCCGGTATATTTATGGACGAGCGATTTGCGCGACGGCGGCGTCGCGCAGATTCGCGCCGCGATGATTTACGCCGGTTTTTCGATTACGCGGCCTCTCCGCGGATCCATAATCGGAGATATACGCGATCCACATTTGTCCACAATGGAATTTCATTATCCCCATTATTTATGGATAACTAACGGCGCTGTTGGTCACCCTTGGTATCGTTCCTATGCTTGTCTACGAGGTAAGTACAAGGCGAGCGATTCTCCGAGGCATTTTCGCGATATCCCTGGGCGTTCTGTCGCATAAATTCCGTGATATATCCAGCGGAGGAAACAGTTCGATTTTTACTCTAAATAATCAAGGATGAGGAAACGTCTTGCGATAGTTAGCGGTAATAATTTCAGGACAGAAGTCAGGATTTCGTTGTTAGCTTAATCTCCGGGGGATTATAATTTTATATCCAACGCACGCCGGCTCGAGCTCGAGTTAGGGTGCGATATAAAAGCAGAAACACAAATCTCGGTCGGTCTCGGGCGGTTGCTTCCCAAGATCTCGGTAATGGACCCCGGATATACTCCCGGAGTGAGTGTTTCCTGGGTCTGAATCAGCTCTAATACCAACCGCTCACGATACAGACGCATTTGTTATTTCATCGTGTTAGTTTAACCGTTATGAAAAATAATATCGACGTAAATAGATATTTAAAAATCGGAAGACGCGGTAATTGAAGAATTACGGGCCATTGTAGAGCGAGCATGGATTTAATGTTACTTAAATATTAATATTTTTTATCATATTAATATTGGCGGTGAAAGGATGAAAATTGTCACAATTGGACATCGCGAACGTACCGAAAACTATATCGTCTAACGAACGCGGGCAAACTTTATCC